CGCTAAAGCGAAAATAAAATGAAATCATTTAAATGAATAGTATAATAAAAAAGTAATGATAGAAAATAGAGAAGAAGTTTTCAAAAGGAGATTATCGTATAGGTTTTTTTTTTCTTACCCAATCTGTTTCATTTTTCATAATGTGATTTCTAGCTATATCCACACGGTTCCATTCTAATGCTAAACGAAGTTGTTCACGTTTACGTTGAATAGTTGTTTCACACCCCTTTTTATCGCTGGTAGCTATATAAAGAAACATTTTCTTTTATTAAAATAAATAATAAAATAATTTAATATATATATATATATATATATATATTTCACCAACCCTTTAATAGAGCTTGTAAAATAGCTAAATCAATATCGGGTTCAACTAAATGACGTGAACTAAGACTAATTATATTCAGAAAATTTCTTCGAGTATGAATACATTCATAAACTAAGTCAAAATTATCCTTATCATCAGTACGATGTTCATGATGATCCGTTGTAACATGTGTATCGGCTGAACCATTAATTGAAAGAAGTTCATCTTTAAGGTCTTCACGAAGTCTTATTTTTAATTCATTATAATGCTTTGCTAAAGTATCTGGATCAATACTAAAACAAAAAAAAACTCACTTTTCAATAAATATTCATTATACCATTCACATTCTTGTTTAAATACTATCAATAATACAGGTTGCTAAATAAATTTTAAAAACTGCAAGATGGAATATATATATAGTTGAAATCCTCGGCACATTTAAGTATCGAAATGCTAATATATGTTCAAAAATGATTATTTTTATAAAATTTGACTAAAGACTTTCGGGCTTTCTATGACTAGAAACGTCAATTAGCAATTTACATGTCTCAATCTCGCAAAGTTACAATCAAATTTTATTTATAAATTCTTATTTTAGAAAAATAGCTTTGTCTTAATTGAATTGTGTAATTCTCATTCATGACTATCAACTTCATGTTCAATCTAATTTAAAATTTGTATGAACTACTCATCATCTTGTAGTAAAACTTCGTAAAACATATTGTTCACTTTTAAATTAATCAAATATGTTTTTTGTTAGAAAAAGCAAAGTCTGACTTTCAAAGAAATCTCTTGCCAATATTTTCAATAAGACATTAAATTAAACATAGGGCAGTTCTTGATCACTCTCTAGTTTTCTGTCTAGTTTTGATTGATTCATCTTTTTCTTTTATTGAACATTCTCTATCTATGATTAATTACTAATTCTATGAATTCGAGTACTTTATTGAATCTTCTTTTTTAAATCTCAGAATAAATAACTTCTAGAATTTAGTGTAAATATATGAATAGTTATTTTAATATTTACATTATTGATGTTTCATCATCAGGTTCAATATTTCTTCGATATTCATTATAAAGATGAAATGCTTTAGCAAATAAATCACAACAACGACCTGTTCCTTCGAGAAAAACAGCTGGAATATTGTTTTCAACAACAGCTTCATGAACTATAGATAAATAAAGCATACTTAATTTTATTGCTTTTTTGTTCAAAAAAAATTATCTTTGTTTGAAAACCTGTTCGAACTGTATTTGGACCGCCTTCGACAACAAGAAGAACAACAGGTACTGGATCTACATAAAAAATAATAAAAAAAAAAAAAAAAAAGAATAATTATTGACTAATAAGAAAACATTTTTCATATGAACTCGAATTTTCTGATTGTAAAAATGATGTTCCAGATATACTTTCAGATTGATTTGAAGAACTTGTCATTGTTTTTGAAGAAAAAAATCCACCAGAAATAACTTGTTCAAGTTGGGCACGAAATGCTATTTCTCGACCATATGTTCTTTCAGTTCCATCATCAATAAAAATAAATTTTGTATGATTTGGTTCAAGTGGTGCTTCACCTCTTGTATTACTACGTGGTTTAGCATAATATACACTTGAACCACGCACATTCAGATGTTTACGACCAGATACACAACCCCATGTAGCAATACCCTATTATATAACAAAAAATATTTTAAAATTCTTTTATTTTAGAAAACTTACAATCAAAGGAATTGGCCGAGATCGATCTGGATTTATTTGAATAATTTCACCAACAAGTTTCATTATACCTGTATTCATACCACCAGTAACTATCCATGCACCTAAAATTAAACAAAAAAAAAAAAGAAAATATTTTTTTTTTAATGACATCAATTCAACTGTACGAATACTACAGTTATTAATAATAACTGAAACTCATAAAAAAAAATCTTATAATCGATTACTTTTCTCCTTTTAAGACATGATAAAGTCAACATGTATAATAACTAACACAATGAAACAGCTTTAACTAAAAATCTAATAGTTCTTTTTTATATAAATTTTGATGATTATTTTTTAAAAGCAAACAAAAATAATGTTTGATTTCCTAGATATTATATCACTAAAATAGTTTCATTTTTTCATACCAGTTGTTCGAGCAACTTTCAGAAGACCATGTCGAAATGCTCTTAATAATCTTGGTTTCATATTATATTCTTTTGCACCTCCAGTTATCGATATGACAAGTGATGGACGCTAAAATATGTGTACATATACTCTTTTCATAATAAAAATTTCAATAACTTACTTCATCACACCAGTATCGAGTTAAGAATTCGTGAACTTGTGTAGGAGGTACGCCATTAGATATACGAATGAAATCTGCTCGATGGGATTTATTATCAGAAACTTGGAAGTAGAAAAGATAAATATACACGAAAACTTTTTATTAAAGTAAATTTCTTTTTCATACAAGTTATTGTTCCATATGATAAAACATTCATCAACTGAAATAGTTTACTAAAATTTTCATCATCACCTTGTTGTGGATTAACTAATGCGGTATCATACCCATCATCAAGAAGTAGAGTTGAAGTCTGTTCAATTGTCATTGTACATATAACTTTATTACAAAAAGTAACGGACACATCTGAAATAAATAGAAATGAAACAGAAGAAAAACAAGATTTGTTTTTGATCGTCTCTAAACTTACACGTGATGTGCATTAGCTCCATTTTAACTGAGTTTTTATGTAATGTAATATATTAGATAAGGCTCAATGAAATATATTCTTTACAGAATAAAGATATGTGAGGATAACTTGTGTATTTGTATATATATATATATAGAGAGAGAGAGAAAGAAAGAGAGACAGAAAATTGTACTTCATTAAGAAAAGAACGTTCTAAAGATAGTCTTTATTTCGCATACTTCATTGTGTTAAACTTAAATCTGATGTTTTCATGATAGTTTTGAGAAAAAAATGTACTTTGGCATATACATAATTGAATTTGATTGTAATTCTCTTGAAAATTCTTCTCTTTTACTATGCCATAATTCGAGTTGTTGTGAGGTTTTAGTATTTTCTGAATAAAGAGCAAAGTTTTAAAAAGTGACTCAATTTAAAGAAAGGTTTTCTATTTTCAACAAAACAATTGAGTCAAAATATTAATAAACTTCAGAACAATGAATTGAACATGAAGCAATGGAACGTTGTTTAGATATCTCAATCGAAGATATATTACAGTAAATCGAAACTTAGTTATTTCGTCAAATCAGCAGACCGTCGATGATCCCTTTATGTATTGTTACTGTTGAAAAGTTCGTCTATTTCGCATGTAAGTACTGCATTTAAGTGATTTAATTGAAGCTTTACCTGTCATTAAGCAAGATATTTCAGCTAGATGAGATCGATAAAAAAAGAGAGCACGTTATTATGCTTAGAAGTGTTAGATTTTTATTTTTTTGAAAATAATTTTTTTAAAAAAAGTAGTTAGTTTGAAGGTAACATGGTTAAGGAACTTACTTTTTACAACAAAACAATCTTTTCATTGCAGAAATCGAACATTTTGAAATGTTTAAATACTTTAGTTTGATGTTCTCTATGATTTTTAGCGATGAAGCTCAGCAACAGTCAAGCTTTTTAATAAAATAAAAATTCAGCAAAAGACGAATATCAGGTTTTTTCTTTTCCAAACTTTTCGTCACACCCATATGATAATCAGAATAACAATAAAAAAAATGAGCTTCTGAACTTGACGACATAAGCACTATTGAAAGGTGACAAATAAAAGAGTAAAAATAACCATCCTCGTCTTCTATTTAACTTTGCTTTACTGGAATTTAGAAAAATGGTTCGTACGAGGCCTTAACTATTTTAGAATTATTATGACAGGGTTAAAATATTTAACGATTCACCTATATATTTCTTCAGCAAACTGAGGGTTTTAAATTTGAGATATGGTTTTTTACCTATTTACTAACCCGAAAACCACTTCAGATGTTTCTTCAGATTGCAATGATTCTTTTGCCTGTAAATAATACAAAGTACTCTACTGAACACTCTAAATATATTTGAGTTCAATTAAAGATTTGATAAACTATCAAATTTTTGACGAGAAAAATGAAAAACATGCAAGTTTTACGATTGTTTTTTTCGTTAAAATATCGCAGAATTTTTTAGCATTACTTTTTAGTGTTAGTCTAGCTGGATATAAAATAGTATTACAAGATGTGAAACTTTTCATCGTCACCATAATCGGCAAGAGATTTCTCTATTATGTCAGTAGGACTTACTGTTTTAGTCATCAACGTTTTCGTTACACTATACCAATTGTGTCTAATCTACTCATTAAATTGACACTATGTGAATGTTATTTAATAAGTTTGTTTCTGCATTTGAAAGTTTTCTAACAAATGACTTGACTATGCTGAATGTTGTAAACATGATAGTGTCTGCTTGTTTAGCCTAATGATTCTTTTTTTTTCTGTACAATAAGACACCTGTATGTGTTTCTTTCTCTTGATAACTTCGCTGCGTTCTATTCTTGTTTTGCAGCGTATAATACATTATTACAAATGTATTCAAACAAGATGCGCACGTTGTGCATAAAACGATATGCTTGAATGATCTATACACATCGGGTATTGTACACGATATTAAATCGAAACATATTTAAACTTCTAAAATTACCAAAAAAAAGCAAATCACTTTTTTTTGATAGACTCATGTAGACACATCAAAAGCTACTAACACAAGAACTTTTTTAGGTATTCTTAGATACTATTGATATCCATTCATTACAATCTCACGTAATACTCTTCATATATATGATGTATATATATATATTTATTTTTTATGCAAAAAACTTTCTTGTTTAACATGACATTAGAATATCTAAAGTATTGAATGCCTAACAACTGGAGTATATATTTTCGTGTATCTGATTAATACATAACTGTGAATGTTGTGATGTTATAAACGGAAAAGCAAGACTTCAGGAGTGTGTACTTCAGATGTACGAAAGTCTCTCACTTTTTCGTTTGGACAGATTGAATGACTATATTTCATATTTGAAATGTCAAATCAATTAATATGTTGCATCAAAAAAAAAAAATAAAACACACCTTAAGATACAGCATGAAACTTGTACAATTTACATAAGATCACTTATTTTTTCGACCGTGTGAAAATTGGTTGTACAGAATTTCGCTAATTTCGAAAGCGAATGATGCAACTATAAAAACAAGAAACTGGTTTATATAAATTTTGGAGTTTTTCATATTCCATTTTATGATATATTTCATCTTTTTAATACGATGTGTTAAGTGATTAAAAATTTAAAAACGCAATATAACCTTTTATTCTACCTCATTTGTCATGGTGTATGAAAATCTATGAATTGAAAAACAAAACTCATTTCAATGCAAGAAAATAAGTAGATTTCCATCTATTAATTTCATAACAATCAATTCATTTTATTTTTTCATAATCTATGTCATTCTATACAGTAAAATCAACTAAGTCATTAACAATAATTATTTTGTCATATGCGAAAAGTTAATATTGCTTCAGAAAATTTCTTAGTAAATAGTTATAATTAATTTGATTCATGAGATCATCTTTACAAGTGAATCTCAACAAATATTAAATTGCTTATTGAAAAGTGTACTAATGAAAAGTATTCTTTCTCGAGATGTCGAAAGATTCAATTTGTGGAAGGAGGGTTGGGCATTGAATGGATCAATGACATAAATGCTTACTTCCAACAGAAAAATGATGCTCAAGTCAAAACCTATCAACGCTAAGATGACGTGCATCAACATATTATTCGACACAATGTATTCATATTAATAAAACACATCATCATCAACCTTTTTGTTCGATATCTCTTAATTAATCAGTCTCGAGAAATGGTATTCGAAAAATAGGAAAACTGTTTTACTATGAAACACATGTTTAGATGAATAGACTTCTGTATAAACTTATGTAAATCTGTATAGGTATTCTGATTAGCCATAAGAAAAATGAAATAGTTTGATAATAGTGATAGAATGTGTTAGAAAAACGATTAGGGATAGGTTAGAAACTGTAGATAGTAGTCAATAGACAAAATGTATCTTTTGTTAGTGATTGTTGAAGATTACCAGATAAGCATGGTATTTCAAATAAAAAAAGAGATCGTTTGAAACTAGAGAAACCCTTCAGAAATTGAAAATTTTTCATATACAAAAAATAGTCATCTTTAGATGATTATCCTTTTTGCATGAGTAGTAATTTTTAAGAAGTTATTGTACAGATGACTCAAAACCTTACCTATCATTTTTTCGAATTTATTCATGAAGACCAAGGTAAGGAATGAAACTCATTCGATCGTTTGGAAGTTTTCAATAGAATTCGGAAAAAAAATAGTTTCTTTTTTTAAACTTAAAAAAGTAAATGAGTTTTTTATTCTTGAAATTTTTATGTATAATCAACTTTAAGTATGGATGCGACTAACTTGAAGCAAAATAAAAAAGATTATCTCGAAAATGATTAATTCATTGAAATTCTGCTGTCGGTGCAGAATTTTCATCAAACTCTGTTAGTGAAACAAAATTCCTAACAGAACTTTCATTGTAATCGATAGATAACTGCAGATTATAAAGCGTAAAAGACTCTACTAATATAGTTTAATAAATTATTAAAATTCTTGAACTTTTGTTTGGAATGAATTATGTTGCTGTTGAAATGTTGATCTTTATTATGTCAAAAAGAAATTTAAATAACTCCACATTATCAGTTTCCAGCAGAATTTAAAATATTACTGACATAAAAATTTTAAACTTAATTTCTATTATTACAACTTACTGGAATCTGTTACTTGGGTTCCTACCAATGGATGTTTAAATTTCTGTGTTTACTTCAATAGATATTTCTATGACTTGATTTCAACAGAGAAGAAATAATCAACTGTAAACGATGAATTATTTTTTCAGCATGAATGACACGCTAGGAAGGAAGAGCACTGTACAAATCGCTAAGAATCATTTGACTCATTTGGGAAAGTACCAGTTTAGTCAGATTGGGTATTCTGAACATTCATCTGCAGTTGGTTCGTTAAACTGGGTGTGGGTGTGGGTGTGTGGATGTGTGGGTGCGGGTGTGAGTGGAATTACTATTCACCCTCACCCACACCCACACCCACCCTTTGCACGAAGCTGTACGATTATTACGCATTCACAGCATGCATGGAAATGATAAGAACCTTCGGGCTCTGCTTTGCATTCAATATAGCATAACGAAGCTTCCGTCTTACAACCATATTTACGACTGTAAACGGAGCATGCTTTTGATTCCTAATGAAAAAAGATACGTGTTAAGCATTTTAGGCTTGTATTTTATCAGAAAACAACATAAGTATAATTGAAAAATATTCATTGAAAAAAGTACTATGATCATCAAATGAGTTCAAGAATTTTGTGAAATATTTTTTTCCGAATGGTTGTGTAGACAAGCATCAGGTTTTTGAAACTAACTCTAAGCTGTGAGAAGTCAGATTTGAGCTGATTTGTCCACCCCTGCAAAGTTATTTACCAAATGAAAACAGCTTTCTTGAGAGCCTATAGAAAACGGATGAGTCGTGTCATTTTTCAAAGAAACATGATTAAGACATTAACAATTCCTTATTCCACTAACCATATTTCCTTCCCGAAGACGATAATTGAAAAGAATATTCCAAATTAACATTTCAAT